AAATCAAATGTACCATTAAAATATTTGTCTTTTAAATAACGCATGTTCTCCCCAATATGTGGAATCTAAAGAAAGATGACAAGAAAGTAGAAGGGAGACTATAATTAGACAAGAGGAAGAAATAAGGGGGAGGAGTAGGAAAGTAAGCACAGGTAACTGGGGGGATGGACATGATCAAAATATATGCAATGAACTCCCCCAAAGTATGTGAAACTAGAGGGGAAAGCTGAGCAAGGGCATAAGGAGGGAGTGAAAATGATCAAAGTATGTTATGTGCATGTACAAATCTGCCAAAATGAAACCAAATCCTCTGTATAACCAGTTTAAAAAGAAAAAAATTGTCTTTCTCCAAGGAAGAAAGTACATGAGTACAAAGAGATTAATGATCTAGCAAAATCTCAGCGTGCCATGGCACTGTATCAAGAAGATAAAAGAGTCAGGTATGATACTGTACACCTGTAATCCCAGCACTCTGGAGGCCGAGGCAGGAAGGTTACCAAGAGTTTGACGCCAGTCTGCGCTGTATGGCAAATTCAAAGCCACCCTGAACTACATAGTGAGATCCTGTTCCAAAAACACCAAGAAGCTCCTCTGGGGGAAGCTCCTGCAGGGAAGCACTGCCCTGCTATGGATCAAGCCAAAGGAGCACAGTTCTTCAAAGGAAGCCCTAGACATTTGCTTAAATACCATGTTTGCTTCAAGAATATTTCTCTGCATAAGTCTCCAGACTTCAAAACTATTTCAATGAGACATTAATAATTGGCAATTATTTCTTGGCTACAAAGGAACAGGACCCTAATTTTTCAGGCTTTTTTTCTAACCCTAGAATGCCTAGTATAATATTCAAACAATCACTAAACAAAAACATTTTTAAAAATCAGATTTTGAAAATGTTACTTAGCCAGCACAATATGATCAACAGTTAAAAACCCAGCTCCTGGAGTCAACCAGGAGCACTGAAATCTGGTTTCTTTGCTTACTTCAACTCTGAATTTGCACATCTGAAAAGAAGGATACTACTTCAGCCAATCTCATGGGGTTGTAAAGTTTAAATAGAAATGCATAGAAAGTGCTTAGCTATAGGAAGTGCTGAAGAAATGTGCACAATCATTTGGCAACCTACATTCCGATTTTACTACCGCCTCCCTGTGTACTCCTGTGCTAATCAATTACTATAAATAAGCTACTGAAAACAAGGAGACAGAACTAACTGCCCTCTAAAGCCAGGTCATGAATACAAAATATACCAAAACTTTGAAAAATAAAAACCTTAAACAAGTTCCAGACAATCTGTGTTGTACCTGAAGCTTGCATATATTTGATCATGGATGACCCAGCATTAGATATCAAAATTTTTAAAAACACAAACAAATTTCAAAGCAGGTTGGGGATAGGGGTGTAGCTCAAAGTAGAACACTTGCCTAGCATGCACAAGGCCATGGTTCACTGCAAAAAAAAAAAAGCATGTATGCATGAATACTTCAGTGCCTGTTGTAGGTGATGGAATGGATAAAATGTGTGTGTGTGTATGTGTGTATAAAGTGGGGGGGACAGAACGATCTCAATGATAATTTATTTAAAGACCATATTAAGGGCCGGGGATTTAGCTCAGTGGTCTCACCTCCTGCTGCGCAAGCGCAAGGACCTGAGTTCAATCCCCTGTACCAAAAAAATAAAAAATAAAAAGACTATGACGCTTTGTAGGAAACAAAGAGTACCCAGAATACAAGCTAGTTTGGGCAAACAAAGATCTTCATACATTTAACTGGAATACCTATACAACTGTCTTTATGATACACATCCACAAACATGACTAGAAGAGTTGTCAAGGAATGAATTGAGTAAAGGGAGAAAAATATTCATCAAAACTGAAAACAAAGAGTGCAAGAGTTCCATTCCTTTGTCTCACTGACTTAGTTAGGATCTGAAACACCTTCCAAAGCCTCACATGTTAAAAACGTGGTTCCCAGCTTGGTGCTATTTGAGATGGTGGAACCTTTAAGAGATGGCGCCTAGAAGGAAGTCTTAGATTATTGGGCTCATGCCCTCAAGAGGGATCACGGGATCCCTTCCACGATCTATCTTTCAGACCAGGGCATGAAGTTGTACACATACCACTGTCATGATGTACCACCACAGGCCCAAAAGCAACAGGGTCAACCAACCGTTGTCAGAAACCCCCAAAACTGAGAGGCAAAATAAACTTTTAGTCTTTATTCACTGATTATCTCAGATATTTGTTCCATTTACAGAAAGCAGCTTACTGCCAGGCATGGTGGTGCATACCTATAATCCCACCACTCAGGAGGGTAGGCAGGAGAATCACTGTAAGTTCGAGGCCAGCCTGGACTACATAGTGAGAACCTGACTCAAAAAAACAAACACAAAAAAGAAAAAGAGAAAGAGAGGGGCAGGCTTACACACTCACCTTCAGCCACCCAATACTAGGATATTACAGCCAACTGGAACAACACAGATGGGTAGTGAGTGGGTAGACTTTCATACTACAAAATTCTGATCTCTGGCAAAGCTATGGTGTCTCTGTGTATGTGTCTGTGTTTCTGTTTCTCTCTTTCTCTGTCTCTCTGTCCCCCGCCCCCTTTCTCAAAGGAAGACCTAGGGCCAGGAGTATATGCCTATAATCTTACCTTCTCAGAAGGTTAAGGTAGGAAGATTACAAGTTCAAGTCCAGCGTGTTAAACTTAGTGAGATCCTGTTTCAAAATGAAGCCAGGAGTGGTGGTACACGCCTCTAGTCCCAGCACTCAAGGGGCTGAGGCAGGAGGATCACCACAAGTTCAAGGCCAACCTGAACTACCTAGCAAGACCCTGTCTCAAAAAAAAAGAAAAAAAAATATGAAAAGGTCTGGGGATGATAGCTCAGTGGTAGTGTGTTCCTAGGTTCAAACCCTAGTACCACACAAAAATTATTTAATTTAAAAAAAAGAAGGAAAAAATTCCCAAACCAATGGGATATATTTACATGAGTTTGTAAAAGCAATGATAAATAAAACAGTTGTTTTGATCATATTAAAAATCTGAGACCCCAGGTGGGCTTGATGCTGCATGCCTATAATACCATGTAATCCCAGCACCCAGAAGGCTAAGGCAGAGGAACTACTGTGAGTTCAAGTTCAGCCTAGGCTACATAGTGAGTTCAAGGCCAGTCTGAACTACACAGTGAGACCCTTTCTCAAAAAACAACAAAACAAAACAAAAAACATCTGTGACCCCCCAGATTAGAATAGGCTAAATGATGAGAAATGATAAGAAATTAGTCTTAAAAGGTTAACTCTGGGCTGGGGATGTCAGTCCCTGGAACCAGCAAGAAAAAAGTTAACCATCAGTTTTGCCTACTTGAGCTTCCTCCCAGATACCCAATACTTACACAGAGAACTTTTGTGTACTACTGTATATACATATCTATCCTACTGAAATTTACAAGGGTTGCCATCCTTTAAAAGGACATGTAACTACTTTTTGGGGGGTACCAGGGATCGAACTCAGGACCTTGCACTTGCAAGGCAGGCGGCAGCACCACTGAGCTAGACCCCAGGCCTATAACTACATTTTAAACACTTCTGTATCTAATTATACCTGCCCAACACAGCAGCTTCAAGAACACATACATAAAGAATATGGGCTGGGAATTTAGCTCAGTGGTTCTGATGCCTGCCTCCCAAGCGTAAGGTTCCGAGTTCGATCCCTGGTACCCAAAAAAAAAAAAAAAAGAATAGAAATTCTGGGTTAAATATGGTACTTTATTCACATGCACAAGGAGTCAATGTACAAGACCATTCATTGCAGCATTACTCATAAGTCTGGGAGCAATCTAAGTGCATACTAAAGGAATGATGCAAAAAGTACAATATTTTCATATAATAAAATCACATTACATTAAAATAAAAAGAATTTGAGCTACCAGCTCAAATTGAGGTATTATATGGATAAGTCCCAAACGATGCAAAATAAAGTAGGTTGCAGAATGATACAAATAGTATAATTCTACTGAATTTATAAGGTTTTTAAACCATCAACATTACCTTTGCCTTAGAATTTTTTATTACAGTCTCGTTTATTTCTTGTATGCACACTAAAGAATTAAGAAATATTTGCTCTAAAAATAAATAGAGAATTAAAAGTTTTAAAAGATTATTAATCCTATAAAGTTCTCTAAACAGCTGCAAGGAAGACTTAGTAATGGAAATCACTTAGCCCTTGAAGTCAGGTGATGTCTGTTCTATCTATCTCCATTCTGCTACTCACCGAGACACTTTATTTCACTAAGCTTCAGTTTTCTCTCCCAAATGGAGCTGGCAACACCTGCTTTGCAGGATGGGATGAAATAATTCATGTAAAAGTGTTATACACAGGTCCTAAGGCTTTTTTCCTCCTAATCAGTCAAGGCAAGTAACAGCATTTTCTAAAGGGGGAAAATGCTGAGTCTGCGCCTTTTGCATGTACTTTACTGCAAGGTAGAAAATGTCAGAGAACACAACAGGCAGGTGCAACCTCTAACCTTCCTCTTCCCAGTCACCATGCCTGATTCAGCTGCCTCCTATGCTTCTATATTTAGCCGAGGAGGTGGGGGAGGGACGACTCTCCAACGGCTCCCCTCGTCACTCTGTGACCTTGGGATATTTTTTTATCTCGCCAAACTCCAGCGCGGTCCCCCATCATACACGACACCCTTCTGCAGCCCAGCGGACACATGGACCATCCAACCCTCGCGGTCACGAAAGAGACTATCAATGCAATGGTGTAGGAAGGTTGTTTTCCAACCTTAGAGGAAAGTTCTGTGGACTCTTTGCGCCCATTCTGCTGAGAGAAAAGAAGGAAGCCCTGGGCAAGTAAGTTCTGCGACTTATTTCCATACACACACCGCGCCTATGTCAGGACCCCACGCCAAGTCTGGCACACCTGGCCCCAGGGCGGCAGGCCGGGCGCGCGCTGACAGACCCACGGCTCGTGCCTTGGGCGCCGGATGCGGTCGGGCCTCACCTGTCTTGAAGACCATCTTGTCATCGTCCTTGGACCCGAAAGTCTCGAGCATGGACACGAAGAGCACCCCGCAGGCGTTCTGGATGCCGAACACCGACCCGTTGCACCACATAGCCGCCAGCATCACTAGCCAGCCCCAGCCGCCCTCGGGGGGATTCCGGGGTTCTGACCCCAACAGCTCCACCTCCACCTTCTCGGGAGCCGCCTCGGGGTCGTCCGAGGGCCCTGGGCCAGGCAGCGCAGCGTCCCCCATGGGCGCAGGGCCGGGCGGCGGCGCCTCGTTACTCCCCGGCGCGGCGGCGGGCTGCTCCTGGGAGGGCACCATGGCCCGGCAGCCCCTCGGGTGCAAAGCGCGCGCTTCTTCCCTGCCGGCGGGCTGTGGAGAGGCGAGAGCGCGCGCGCAGGCAGGGGAGGCCGAGGCGAGGGCGGCGGAGCGCCTGACAGGAGAGCGGCGCACAGGCGGCGGCGCGCGAGCGCCTCGGGGGCTCAGAGGGCAGGCCTCACGGTCCGCACGAGCGCCCTCGACCGAGGCGCCTGCAGTGTAGCTTCTTAAAGGCGCCCCACAGCGGGCCAGCTGAGGGCGTGGCTGGCGACGGGATGTGCCCCCGGATTCCGCAGGTGATTGGGCGTCGGAAAGCGGAGGCGGGGCGACTCAGTGCCCCTGGAGCCAGCGGCAGGCGGTGTGCGCTCCTGCGGTGCCACCCGCCTACAGCTAACCCCAGGGGGCTCACAGAGGTGTGCGCCACCCCGCCCCACAGTTTGAACAGAAGGGGCGTCTCCTCCGGGGGTGTACTGGGTGGCTCAGCAGCGGTGGGTCTTTATCCTGAACTGCTGACAGCGTCACGACCAAAGTTAATATTGTCTCTTGGGTTTGTGTTTGGTTTTTGGCGTTCGCCTCTTTGCACTAATTATGAGATACGTTATGCCACCTACCTACTTAAAAAGGAAATAGAATTACTTCAGTTCCTGCATTCGTATACAATCTGAATACTTGGCAACTGCAGATGAGCGTTTTGGAACAGACTGCAGCGCTAAAGTTTTCAACAAACATTTTTGACAGACATCTAGAAAACATTGCTTTTCAACTATGCACAGCTGTCCTCATTTTAAACTAACTAAAACCTATCTTCTGTCTCCCTGAAACATAGAGCGCCAATGTAGGTAAATGAGGACACCTCTTAATTTCTCAGTTCTTCAGATTCTTCACTCTAGCCAGAATCAAAATATTCAGGTTACTTCTGTACTCATCACTGTAGTGGAAGACACAGACGACAGTGACTGGTCACATTTCTGCCTCTCTTGGCTCAAAGACCAGTGAGCAAAAAACAATTCTGGATATAGTAGGAGGCTCAGATACATGCCCAAGAGAAAAACGTAGACTGGAACCATTAAATTTTCTCCAGAACACTAAAAAAAAGAGGTTCTACAGCAAATAGGTAGTCCTGAAGCTGAGCCCTGAATCGTGCATAGGACTTCATGAGCAAAGATAAGCAAAACCAGTCCAACAAGAGAAGATTACATAAACCAAGAGAAAGGTGTGCCAGACAGATGAGAAACAGTGCAAGTGCAAAATGTGTTTGGAGACAAAGTTGAATAGTGCTATAGTTTGGTTCCGGAATGTCCCCTAAAGGCTTGGGGACAGCCCACTAGCCCACCAGCCCAGGGCATTTGTGGGAGGTGGTGGAGCCTTAAAGTGAGGAATGATAGGAGATCTTAGGTCACTAGGAGCACAGCCTTGAAGGAGACTGAGGAACCTTGACCTCTGCCTTTATCTCTTTCATTTCTGGCCATGTAGTGAACTGGCTTCCCCTACCGTATACTCACTATGATTTACTGCCCTTGCCACAGGTCCAAAAGCAATGAGATTAGCCTACCATGAACTGAAACCTCATGAGCCAAAATAAACCTTTCCTCTTTTTCAATTGATTATCTCAGGCATTTGTTATAGCAATGGAAAGCACCAAGGTAAATAGTAAACTAAGGAATAGTCACACACGTGCAATAAATAAACATGCAAGGATGTTATCCCAGTATTGTTGGAAATAAAGAAAAAGAAAGCAACGTGTACACCAGTAGAGGCTTGATTAAACATATACTATATAACCTCTAAAAGTTATGATGTTCACCTCTATTGACATTGAAATTTGTTCACAACATATTATTGGACAAAGAAAGCACATCAAACATACATGTAACCCAAATATAAAATAAATACCAAGGAAGGGCCAGGGATTTAGCTCAGTGGTGCCACACCTGCCTCACAAGCGCAAGGTCCTGAGTTCAATCCCTGGTACTGGAAAAAAAAATACCAAGGAGACAATACTGATATAAGTAAATGACTAAGTAAATAGAGGAGCAGGTAGCCAAATCTTTTCTGCAGAAGAATTCTCAATAATGTGTGCAGATGTTCTACTCTCTGGGTCCTTTACCTCCTAGAGTCTAAGAGGTAAAATACAATGCTGCTTGAGAGGCAGAGGTAGGAGTATTACAGGTTCAAAGCCAGCATGGGCAATTTAGCAAGACCCTGTCTCAAAATAAAAAATAAAAAGATATGGGAATGTAACTCAGTGACAAAATGTTTGCCTAGGTCCTGGGTTCAATCCCAGCTACAGAAAAAGGAGTGTGAGGGGCAGTAATTAGACAAATCCCAATTGAGAGACATTCTGCAAAATACCTCACAAGTATTCCTCAATAATGTCAAAGTCATCACAAACAAGGAAAGTCTGAGAAACTGTCAAGAGGAGCCTACAGAGACATGATATATCCTAGATGGAATGCTGGAACAGAAAAAGGATGCTAGGTAAAATCTAAGGAAATCTGAAAAAAAAATAGACTTCAGTGTATTATAATGTATCAATACTAGTTCATTAATTGTAAAAATGTGGCATTCCAGTGTAAGATAATAAAAGAGGGAGCCAGATGTGGTGGTGTGTGCCTGTACTCCCAGGTACTTAGGAGGCTGAGGCAGAAAGATCGTGAATTTGAGGCGAACCTAAGCAATATAGCAAGATCCTGTCTCAAGTCAGCAGTAGAATGTTAACCTAGCAGGCATAAAGCCTTAGGTTCAATCCCCAGCACTGAAAAATAAAAATAATTCTAAAAATAATAAGTTTTAAAACTCAGTGAAAGAATATGGGCATTCTATTATCTTTGCAATATTTCTATAAATATAAAACTGTCTTAAAATAGTTTAAGATTGTGTATATCATGATTCCATTCTGTAAAAATATATATGTGTGTGTATATAACAATGTATGAAACATGATGCAGTTAAAATTTCACTTTATATATACTTACTACATGTAGCATTTATACACTGAGGTTATGTGATTTTTAATATACAGCCCATTTTCAAAATTTGTTTCTATTTATGTCAACACTATTTCTGAGCATTATGCCATATTTGCCATATTTTCAGAATAAAGTTGAACATTTCTTAAAGGGGATTGATTTAGCAGCAGCAGTGACATAAAAGATTAAAAAGTTAGGGCTGGGGATTTAGCTCAGTGGTTCCACTGCCTCGCAAGCACCAGGTCCCAAGTTCGATCCCCGGTACCAAACAAAACAAAAAATGTGTGCATATAAACTGAGATTAGGACATACAAGAGAGGCCAGAGCATGCAGCTACCTGCAAGGCAAGGAAAGAGTCCTCAGGAGAAATCATACTTGGTGCTGACATCTTGACCTTGGACTTTCAGCCTCCAAACTGTAAAAACATAAATTTCTGTTATTTGGGCCATCCAGTCTGGGGTATTTTGATATAGCAGCCTTATCAGACTAATGCACACATTTAACCACTAATGATAAAACACAATTTTGTATCTCATATTTTTTTCACTTAACTTACCATATTATAATTTCGCGTATTATTGAATATTTTTCAAAGACATGATACTAATGACTAGAAACCATTCTACCATACAGATAGATCATAATTTAGTTAATTGATTCCCTGTATTGAGGCAGAAGTTTGGGGGTGGCAAAGCAGCTGGGCAAGTGGTTGTGACCTGTCAGTAAAGAAGATCCAGGAAATGTGCATAAAAACAGTGCTCAAAGCCCTGCAGCTGGGACCAGAGAATTTTATCTTCAGTTCTCAGGAGGCTCCAAGCAAGTTTTTGATTGTAGGGCCTAGACCTGATGTCAGCTGGTGGAGTGGAGTACACAAAAGACAGCAGCCATTGACCTGTAGGCTACTGTGCTGTCTTTCACAGTGGTCCCCTTACCCTATAGAGTCTACTTCTTTTCCTACTTTTAATTGGCCCTCACTCACTCTGTAGAACATATTTCCTTTCCTACCTTTGATAAACGTAAAACCTGGCTACCTTTTGCACTTACCTTGACCAATTCTTTGTTCAGGATAAAAAGAACATAGAAAACTCCTTTAGCCAGAGACTCCAGAACCCCAGAATCCAGTAACAATTGTACATACAAGTAGTCCTACATTTTTCATTATTATGAATAAAACTACAACAAACAATATAAATAATTACATACAAATCTTTGTATCTCTGACAATCTTGTAGGATGGAATTTTAGATGTAAGGTTACTGATGAGAAGCATATGAACGTTCTAAGAGTCTAATATATTGCTACATTTTAAAGCAACTTTATCAGTTCACACTTTTGCCAGTATTGTATGCAAATACCCATATTAGTGTATCTTAAGAAATGTTGAATAACGTGATTATTTTTTAAAAATCTTTGCCAATTTAGGATTAAAATGAAATTCCTTGTAGGTCTGTTTTCCCCATATTTGATTATCAATGAGGAAGACCATATTTATTGACTGATCATCTTGTATTTTCTTTTTTTGCAAATTATCTTCCAGATAGTAATTCTCTACATTTCCCAACAGAGAATTTGATTTTTTTTAAAAGTGGTATTTATGATTATTTTGTGTTTAAGTCCCAAATATCTTGTTAGGATTAATCTCAGACATTCCGTTTGTACATTGCGTTTACTACCTTGTGCTATTGCCTGTTTGGAAAAATGAAATATTTTTCCATAAAAACTTCTGTTTACTGCTAATAAAGAAAAAACAGCTAAGTTTTTGCTTTTATTTGTGTTGGGGGGTGTTTTTGTTCTTGTTTTTTGAGACAGGGTCTCACTATGCAGTCCAAGCTTCATCTCACCATTCTCTTGCCTTGGGCTCCCAAGCACTGAGATTAAAGACGTGTGCCACCACAACCAGCAGCATTATCATCTATCTACCAGCAGCACTATCTGCCACTATCATCTACCACATGTTTTATAAGTCTGGGAAAATTTAAATATGGTACTTAAATTAAATGGCTTTACTTTGTCCAGTTTGGGCTGACATTGACA